TTAAGAGGTACAGAGCAGTATTTCTGTAAGCCTCCATCCTTCAAAAGTTCCCAAATACCTCCCCATAACCTGACAGTGATGGGATATTTTCCCCTCCATATAATTTCCAGTTAGCCAATATATTTGCCTTTAGCATAAGCAACACTATACCTCTTATATTTATATATCTTTTATATATCCTTAACACACCATTCTTTCAGCCTTTAATTAGTCAAGTACTGCTAGAGCTTAGTTTTGCACCTGTTTCAAACACTTTTTTCCTTTCTTGTTTTATTTCCTCCCCTACCCCCTTTGCAAATTCCTCCTACATTTACATGCTTGCTTAAGGGACCGCTATGGGATTTGGTGTCTCTCACCAGGTCTAGCTGCTTCTCTGGAAACTGTTGTCCCCCAAGGCTGATCCTATAAGCAAATAAACCCACCAAGCTCATCGGGTCATTATAATTTTAGAGCGTTTTTGCAATGCTTTAACTGTGAGTCCCCAGCCTGGGTGGATCCAGATCTCAAGAGCTGTAACTCTCCGGGCTCCCTTGAGAGCTGTAACAGTTCTTATTCTTGGATCTCAAGTTATTATTATTGCTTTAAGTTGTTAGACCAAGCTAAGCAAGACCATGATAGGACACAGGTTAGATATTTAATCGTGAAAAAACCTATTGCAGGAATTACTGGCTGCTCTGGTTAAACTAAAAGAAAATAAAGCTCCAGATGGGCAAAATCTGACAGCTGAGGCCTGGGGACTTGCCTTGATACACAGGTTCTGCCCTGCAGATAGCTGTTCTCCATCTCCGTTGGTCATCCACAAACAGCAGGTCATCTTCATGAGTCTGGCAAGGATGCTGCAGACCTTCCCGTGGCTCGAGACTGCAGCAGTTAAACTGAGTCATTTGATCTCCTGGCTTATTAAATTCTTCCACAGTATTGTTTTCAGGCTTCCCATGTACTTTACCATGCATTGCATAGATTTTCTGCCCACTGTCTTTCTGAGCCTCTAAGAGAAATCTCATTTTCTTCATCTCCCATCGTGCTTTCTATCCCCCTTTCTCCAGTCATACCTCCAGTTTTTTATCTCTTTATTAACATCACCACTGTCCACAAAGAGATGCAATGGGTTCTGCCTAAAGAGTTTCTCTCTTAATAAAGCCTATAATAGCCCGTACTCTACTTGGAGGGGGGGGTTTAACAGTTTCCCCACTACTTGCTCTCCTGCTCTATTAATAGCAACACAGAGGACTATTTTTAGCTTGCTCATACATGTGGCTCTTGCTGATAAAGCATACCTTTGGTTTATTACTGGGTTCTTTAAAAAGGACACTTGCATCCATACCCAGTAACTGCAGCCGGGTTTTATTCTCAACAGTTCAGCCTGCACCTTGTTCAGTTAGGGCAGGAGCAAGACGATCTGGTCCTTGTGGGGTCTGTACAGTCTCTCTCCTACCCGCTAATATCAATGCCCGCTGGCATTCCTGTAGATGACACTCCGCTGACGGGTTTCCCTAAAACCTGGGAGGGGTATGAGCAGATGGGACTACAAGCGGACTGTGAGGGTAAAAGCCTCAAAGACCAGCCCAGCCCAGGCTGCTGGGGTAGTTTTGGCTCCGGACCCTGAAGTTCACGAGCACAGTTCACGTGCTGCTGGTACCTGCTGTAACTATTTCTCTGCTTCCCTAGAACCAGGGGATGGGGAAATTCCCGTTGAAAGATGCTTTCCCAGTACTGGTCATTTTAGTGCAGAGGGTCTTAGAGCAGCTTCTTTCCACCTGAGTTAGAGCATCATCGTGTCCCGAGATCCACTTCCACTCCGGAGTCTTAATCAGTGATTTCCAGAGTGGTCTGCAGATAACCGGCAAAGTTACAGACGTGCTGCTGTCAGAAATTAAATCCTCCTAATGGTGTTCTCAGTTGGGCTTGATAAGAAGCCTTTATTTCACACAAAGCTTTAACCACTCTTGTACCTATTGGTCTTCCTGGCTTGCCAGCTGTAATTCCCAGTAGTTAACCTCAGCTTGCACTAATGGTGCCTACTTCAAATCCTGTTTGACCTGCTAATTTTAAAACTTGGATACCTCTCACCTCTTCAGTAGCTCCGGTCGCTGGAATATCATCCACATAAGACGTTTTTTCTTTATCCTCTGGAGACAATAGTTTAAACAAGTTCCTGACATGAGCCTGTGCCTGCAGGTGCGCTGTGAAGCCCCGGCGGTACCTGTGCAAGGGTTCATTCCCTCTCTCCAAATGCAAAAGCAAATCTGAAAATTGACTCTTCAGTAAGCAGGATGGTGAAGAAACAGTTGGATCTATAGCTGAAACCCACTTGTTTTCTGGTAACTTAGCAATAATCACTGGCATGTTCGCTAAACTAGGAGCTGTTCTCATGGGGAATGCATTTCTTTGGCAGTATTCCACTGGCATTTGCTCGGATTTTCCATCAGCCTTTCTAACGGGCCGCAGGGGAAAATTATACGGGTTTGTAGTTTCTCAAGAAACGCTTTGTTTAAAGTAATCCTTAACGATTTCACTCGGAGCATCTCAGCTTCTTTAGGATATGAGTATTTGTACGGGGGACCAGAAGGTCCCACTAGTTCAGCTTGGGCAATGGGTTTTACACAGAGTGGGGTTTTCTGCCATCCTCCTGGGGTGGCTCTTTCCATTATTCTCCATCTGTCCCCCTTAAAGCTTGTATCTCTCCTTTCACCCTTTATAACGGCCTTTGCCCGGTTTCTGTATTGCCGACACAAAAATCTCACCGTAAAAATCCAGTAAGAGTCCACACTCCATCTTCCAACCGCTTTCTAAAATAAGGGGATCTTCACTGCTGCATCGAAAGCCCGCTGGTACCTTCGTATCTCCTGGGTACAACCTCGAGGCGGCCCCCCAGGGTCCCGGTGTTTGGCACACAGGCACCCATTTGTGTGGGCAGTGCCGGGTCGAAGCCAACCTCTTTACGGATGACGTTGGCCAGCTGGGAGGTGGCAGAGATGCAGGAGCATCACGGTGTCCTGCTACCGCTCCTCTCAGCTGCGGTATCGCTCCCTCCAGCAAATCCCATCCCGTTTTGTCATTTCTCCCGCTAAATCCTTTAATGCTCTCCAGAGCCCTTAACATCTTTGATCCATTTTTTTCCCCCCGATGTACTACCCCTGCCATCACCATTTCCCAAACATCCCCTACTCCTCTGCTCCAGTGTCCATCCCCTCGTTACTGCAAGCCACAGCTCCCGCTTGGCCCATGTTAAATTTTCCCCTTTTCTCCTGAACCCAGGCCATAATTACTAGCACCCCTCCGTTTGATCTCTACCAGCCGAGCCCAGGGAGGCTTCCCTGCGTTTGGGCAGCGAGTTCCTGTGACTCATCACCGGAGCCGCCTGTGCCTCACCAGCGAAGGGCTGGTGGGATAGGATATCGCATCCTGCTGGTATCTTAGAAATTCTGCACTGGTTCGGAAAAATCTTCTCCATCTTCTCCCAGTTTCTGGATCCATCTTTGTGCTGCTGATTTCTTACCTATCTGCTGGGCAATGTGGTTTAACGCGCTCAGCAGGAAGGGCATATACCGATCCCTTAGTGCACGTCAGAGCAAAGGCTGGTGTAGCACAAGCTCTAAGCATTGAGCTATTTCATTTCCATTTGATCTAAAACTTGAAGACATTTCTAGAAGTGCCATGCTCCACTCCACCACTGTGCTTTATTTTTGCAGTCTCGCGTGCCCCAGGATAGCTGTTAGACTGGGACAGCGACTGTTGCTCCCAGCTCCTTTTCCCTTTCCCTTTCATGCATATCAGCCCGATAATCCTCTTCCTCTGACAGCTCCCAGTCTAATTCTCCGTTTCCCGCAGCTATTTTTAATTTCTCGAGCCTACTCTGCTTTTGCAAGCATCTAAATTTAGCTTCACGCGGCCTGTGATGGGGTCCCCTTGGAGGTCCCCCTTGCTCCAGGGTGAAAGCTGCAGCAGGCAGTAATCCCTGCGGGAAACTGCAGCTTCCCTCTGATTTCCTAAATTTACAGGAAACTAATTCCAGCCGGATCTGCTCCCGGAGAGCTGCGGGATGGTACTTGTCTCCTAAAGACACGGGAGACTGGAAATGGGGAGGAGAAGAGTGATACCAGAAATAAGGAAGAGGGAGGAGGAGAAGGCTCCGTGACTTTTCTTACCAAGACAAGGCTAGTAAATGGGTTGGGGACCCCAAGCAAAGCGCCGATACTCTGGAAAGGTTGGAAATTCAGGGGGTCGGTGGTTTTTCAGTCAAACCCATGACCTGTTGTTAGGAGGAGGGTGAGCTGCTGGCACGGGGGAGGCGAGAAGCAGAAGAGGGGCTGCGGTGTCTGCGAGCATCAGTGTGCTTTCCTAAAGCCGCCTTTCCTCCCCCAAAACAGCATCTTCCTTATGAGCTTATTGCCGGCAGTCCTTCGGGTATTAAATTGCCCATCCCGGTGGTTTTATGGCGGCCGGCTGGCGAGCCGCCCCATGGCGGGGAAGGAGGAAGGGTGTGCCGGATGTCGGGCTGCCGTTGAAAAGCGAAACCCTGCCTGTACGCGGGACGGGGATTTCAGGCAGCGCCTGGCCCCCTCCGGCAGGGCCCCGCCATCCGGGCGGTGCGGTGAGTGCATCGCGGCACGGCCGGCCACGCTGCGCCGAGGGACGGCACGGGCAAGGCGGGATGGGGAACCGGCCAGGCAGGGCCATGGGGACCGGGCTGTCCCCGGGGCCGAGGGGATTCCGCTCCGAGGGGCTGCAGCTCCCAGTCCGGTTAGAAGCCCCCACGATGCTTTTTTGGGTGCTTTTCTCTCTCCTGTGCCCCATCCCAGGGGGGACATCCCCACAGTGCCAGATCCTGCAGCACCCGCAGCCCTGGTGACCTTGCCACACTGGGGTGACTGTCCCCAGCCTTTCCGGCGCAGGAAGAACCAGGCTGTACAGGACAAACTCGGTGCCCAGCTCCAAAACCTCTTGCCATGGTGTAGCCGTGATTTCTAACCTTTGGTATTTTCAGGTGACATCCCGTGATGGCAGGGGAAGAGCGTGCGTTAGCCGTTCTCGTACGAGCACTGCAGGGTCTCGCACCTAAAGACTTTCAGGAGTTTAAGACGAAGTTATCGGATGTTCACGTGGAAGGAGGATGGAATATCCCCAAGGATTCGCTGGTCAAGGCCGCCCACCCTTGTGCGCTTGCCCACTGCATGGGCGAGAACTACAGCGAAGACACCGTGATGGACATAGCGATTGCGTTGTTCGAAGAGATGAACCAGAGAGACCTCGTTGAGAAACTCCTGGATGAGAAGGTGAAAGGTAGGAAGCCGGAGCAAATTTTCCTTTTCTTTCTCTCTTTTTCCCTTGGGTGATCCTGGAGACAGGTAGAAGTTGGTAAGAGCAGGTTTTGGTTTCTCGGGGAGCCTGGAAACACGAAGGTGTCCTGCTGTGATCCTATTAGTGTGAGGGCTGTAGTGACCTCTCCTCTTGCTGTCCCCACCTACTGCCAGGCTCCCTCTGCTCCCGGAGAAGAGCCTTCAGCTCTCGGCACTGCCTGGCAGGCAGCTGGGCAGATCCTTTCCTCCTGGGGTGGGGATTAAGGACATCTCTGCAGAGCTCACGTTTGGTAGCACTTTGCAGCCAGAGGCATCCCCGGGAGCCCAGGGACGGTGCCTTTGGCCCCAGGGGCACGAGCAGAAGGGGACGGAGGCTGCAGGTGGCCCCAGGCAACTGCATTTGCTCTCGGGGTAGATGAGGATTGCGGGGTGGTTGATGGATCAGGATGATGAAGGACCCCCCCAACTGACCAGAGGCCCGAAATTCTTGCAGACGGTGTCCTTATTGCCTCTGCCAGACTTAGGAAAGCCCTGAGCGTTGAAACAAGTGTCCCATTTGTGTGTCGGGAGCACAGTCGGGCTGGTTAGGAGCTCCATGGGAATCTGGCTGTGCTTGGGACTGACACTGCTTCTCACCGGCGCAGAGTACAAGCGGAAATACAGAGAGCATGTCGTCCGGGAGTTCCTCCGGTACAAAGAAGTGAACTCCCGTCTCGGGGAGAACCTGTCCATCAGCAGCCGCTACACCGACCTGACCGTCGCCAGGAAGCCTCGGAGCAAGCGTGGAGGTGAGCATGAAGCTGTGGGCGCCAGCCGTGGACGTGCCGATGCCGGCAACGGACCAGCCACCGTCACTGTCACCGCACAGACACTGTTTAAACCCGACAGAGATGGGCAAACGCCGCAGGTTGTGGTGCTGGTGGGGGCCCCGGGGATGGGGAAGACGATGACGGTCAGGAAGGTGATGGTGGAGTGGGTGGAAGGGACCCTCTACACGCAGTTTGACTACGTCTTCTGCATAGACTGTAAAGACATTGCCTTTACCAAGGAAGCGAGCGTGGCAGACCTGGTTTCAAAGTGCTGCCCTCACAGGCGGACGCCGTCTGGGAAGATCCTGGATGACCAGAAGAAGATCCTGTTCATTTTTGATGGCTTTGAGGCCCTGGGATTTTCCTTGGTGCAGCCTGAAGTTGAGCTGAGCTCTGACCCCAGGGAAGTGAAGCCTCTGGAAACCACCCTGATGAGCTTGTTGAAGAAGACTGTCCTGCCCGAGTCCTCCTTGCTCATCACCACGAGGCCGACGGCTCTTCAAAGCCTGGGGCAGTGCCTGGAGGGTGAGTATTACGCAGAAATACTGGGATTTTCGGCAGCCATGAGGGAGGAGTATTTCCACAGGTATTTTGAGAACGACAATAAAGCCGACGTGGCCTTCAGGTTTGCCAGAGGCAACGAGATCCTCTACAGCTTGTGCGTCATCCCCGTCATGAGCTGGACTGTCTGCACCATCCTTGAACAAGAGCTTTACAAGAAGAAAAACCTCGTCGAGTGCTCTAAAGCCACCACGTGGATGAGCGTGTTTTACCTCTCCCGGTTAATGAAGTGCAGAGGCAGGGACAACCCGCAGGACCTCCAGCGGTTCCTGCGCAAGCTCTGCTCCTTGGCTGCCGACGGCATCTGGAAGCACAAGGTCCTCTTTGAGGAGAAGGAAATCAAGGACCGTGGCTTGGACCAGCCAGACCTTCTCCCCCTCTTCCTCAATGAGGAGATCTCAAAGAAAGGTGTAGACCATGAGAACATCTACAGCTTCACCCACCTGCACCTCCAGGAGTTTTTTGCGGCGATGTTTTACGTTCTGGAGGACGATGAGGAAATGGTCGGCAACTCGGGGGCTCTCGCAAAGGACGTAAATATGTTATTAGAAAGTTATAGCAAGTCCAGGAAGGATTTGAACTTAACAGTGCGGTTCCTGTTTGGTCTGATAAGCCAAAAATCGATAGAGTACGCGGACAAAATCATCGGGTGCAGAATTTCACCGCAAGCCAGGGAAGATATGCTGAGGTGGCTTCAGGGGAAGCACAGGGGCATCTCCCATCCCAGCCAAGCGCTGAAGGTTTCGGAGTTGGACACTTTCCACTTTTTGTTCGAGATGAACGAGAAAAGCTTCGCGCAAAGCGCGCTGGGTCATTTCACCGACATAGACTTGCAGGACATCAAGCTGACCCTGTACGACCAAATGGCTCTTTCCTTCTGCATCAGGCAGTGGGCTGCGCTGGGCTGCGTCACCCTCCGGGGATGCTCCTTCCGCCAGCAGGATCCCGGGAAGGAGCTGGCCGCGTCGGTACCTCGGTAAGTACTGCCCCTCTCTGCTCTAGCGACCCAAAATCGCAAAGAATTCTCCTTCTCCGCCCCAAAGGATGGTTTTAAAGGCATTTCAGCTCCTTCCACCCAAAGACCAGCTTGTCCTTTCACTGGGGGTTTAATTCCTCAGCGGAGGATTTTACTTTTTCTTGGGGAGAATTGTGGGAGAATAAGGATGCCGCGGGATCCTCCGTCCGCTGCATGCGGTGGGACTGATGGAGATGGAGCGTCTCGGCTCAACTTCCCCGGCCTGAAGAGGTCCATCTGCGCCCGGGTGTCAGTTTGGCTTCACGTCCCCCTTCTTGCACGCAAAGGGGAGATCCCCGGTGCTGAAATTTTAAGTGTGCCCCGAGCTTTTCCTGAGAGCAGGTAGCGCCAGCAGTAATGCTCGTGATCCTTTGCATCTCCAAAGCCATGGAGGTCCCACCCGAGGAGACATCCCGCGAGCTGGCGGCGAGCCCTGATGGGGGGGGGGAGGTGGGA